ACACAGTCAGAGCGGTGATGGGGCACGTTTATCATTCAATGGGGTTCTTTGTCTTTAGGTCCCTAGAATTAGAAGAAAAAGGAATACAAATATTTTTAGAAAAAGGAATCTCAGAAAGCTGCAATCTGACATAAAGCCATTTAATAGCAAAGACCAGCTGGATGCTGATCATACGTATGGGAACAAAGTCTTACATTTGTGTCCTTTTAATTTATTAGCCATATGTTTGAAGATACCATGGGAGGGGGCAATGGGGAAGATGAAGGTAGTACTGAAAAGAAGTATCTTAGAAAATGATTCTTAAAGAGCCAAGCGTGGTGGCACATGCCAGTAATCCCAGCATCTTGGAAGGCTGAGTCAGGAGGATTGCAAGTTCAAAGCCAGCCTCAGCCACTTAGTGAGGCCCTAAGCAACTCAGTGAGACCCTGTCTATAAATAAAAGACTAAAGAGGCTGGGGTTATGGCTCAGTGGTTAAGTGCCCCTGGGTTTAATCCCCAGTACCAATAGAAAGAAAGAAAATGAAAATGATTCTTAAAGGGAAAGAAATCGTAGCCCACTCTACTTGTAAAGGCTGGAATAGTCCCATCACTGTCAGTCCTTCCCATCCCATCATCCTAATATCCTCCCTCCCTCACTTAACATCATGTGACATTATATATCTTTAGTTTTTAGTTCACTCCTAAAACATAGTAAGACATATTGCTAATTGTGTTAATGAGTATTACTACCATCATATTTTCACTCCTCATATTTATTTCAAATTTCTTTGAATTCATTCAGGACCTTTGTGGGAAAGGAGTGCACACACTAAACTCTCTTCTTACGTTCTTCCAAGGGCTCTGCTGTCTGTCTATTGTGTCATACACACTTAAAAGCCAAAAGGTAATGATAACCTTAGAAAATCCTGGAGTAAAATCTGGATTCCAGGTAACAATAGACATTGTAGGTCCAGGTGGTCTTAACTTGGTGAGAAATAAAGTTATGCCAAACTGCCTCTCCTAGTAAAGGTAGGAATTTCTGGCATCTTACTCATTGATACAAACAAACAAAATCTCTTTGGAAATAACTCCCTGCTATTCATAGTTACTGAAGAAAGTGATTTGGTTTACCCACAGGACTTCGCAGTTCCTCTCTTTGGCTTTGTAAATCTGTTGAGCTCTGTGTTTGACCTGCAGTCCATCTAAAGGTTAGGCTGTATGCCAGCCCACTATAAATGTCTGTGACCTCACTCGTAATAGATAAATCCTACCAGGATCCCCTCTTTCCTGTAATGCCTCAGTACCTGTCCTAATGTAGATGCACTGCTTATCCTAGTGGGAATCATATTATCCTAGGAAATGTCTTAAGTAAATCTCGGGAAATAGACATGTATGCTGAAGTTCCAATCAGTTATGTATTCTTTCTTGTCTTATATATATATTGTAAATGTCAATTCTGTTTTTCCAATATTTGGAATAGTTTTTTTCCCCTTTCAACATTAAATGTAAACTTTTAGGAAATTTAAGAATAGGTGGTTCTGTATCAAATGCTTCATTTTACCATATTTTAACAATTCCCAGTAGTTAGTGTCTGATAGGAAGATGATTCTCTAAAAAGTACTGAGAATTCGTTTTTCCGGATTATTCCAGACTACGTGGTACATATTTCATGGCCTTTCTTGGTTGGGACCAGAAGTATCAGAGTCATCAAGTATGAGAATTTTTCTTTGTGCCAGTGGCTAGTGAAAGTCAGGCTGTATAAATACCAGTGAACTCTTGGAAAACTCAAGATATACATGTAGGCAAGTGATATTTATCCAGATGTTCATGTACATTTTGATTTTTTACAGATTATACCGAAAGGAAGTTCTACAGAAATTAATAGAAAAATGTGTTTCTAAGGGCTATGTCTTCCAGATGGAGATGATTGTTCGGGCAAGACAGATGAATTATACTATTGGTGAGGTATGTAACTGATGTAGTAATGTCATATTCCTCATAAAGGAACAGTACAGTGTGGACATGTTGTAATAAAAAGTTTAACTTTGATAACTACTAAATTAATGTTGTGGGTTTCCAGTTGTTTAGAATGTCTCTGCACTAAAGGGTGAATCCCTTTCATATGTAATACACGTGACCTACTGAAAATTAAAGTCACTGGTACCTCCTTCATCTGAAGCCTTTATTTTGACCAGTCAGCCTCATTTTGAGTGCCTTAGCTGCTTTTCCTCTTAGAGCCAGCAACCACCATACTTTGTCATGAATAATGAAACCCATGTGCCCATTTCCTGTGAACAAGTGGAAGTGGCCAGAGTAAGAGTCCTGTGATATTTCAGGGTAGCAGTGAGCTCTTAGGGAAGCTCTGCACTACACTAGAATGCCACTTGTTTAAGTTATAAGGTTTCCAACTTAATGCCAAACAGTGGCAGCTAAACTGGACATACTGAAGCAGCTCAGTGAAGGGCCATTATACATTTAAAGTGTACTTTTTCCTTGAAATTTAGCTTTTCTAACAGTTGTAGATTTGATTCTTGTGACTTATTTTTAGATGATAGATGTGTGTTCAATTTAAAGGCTTGGCAGTACATGCAATTACTTCCTGAGTCCCTTACTTCTGAACTCAGTTAAAGGACTTATTGTGGGACTGAATTTTTCTGTTCCATTAATAACAGTTGAATACCTGCTGGTCCCTAATTTTTTGAAAACTGATTTTAATGTACATTTTTTCAACCAGGTTCCAATATCATTTGTGGATCGTGTTTATGGTGAATCCAAGTTGGGAGGAAATGAAATAGTCTCTTTCTTGAAAGGATTGTTGACTCTTTTTGCTACTACATAAAAGAAAGTTACTCATTTATGCTTACCATGGTCATTTCAATGTAAACATAAAAGAAGCCTGGTTACTGATTTTTGTAAAACGTACTCTTAAAGCATAAACCATGAGGTAAGGAAATTTTCATGCAAATCTTTTTCTGGAGAAACTCCCATTTTATATTTCATATTAAATAATTATAAAAGTTATTGGTTCAATGAGCAGTGTTTCAATTTTCATTTATATTTTGCTGTATTAAGATCTATAAATAAATGTATACTTTTTTTGCACAAAATGTTGCTGCTTTCATTAACAGTATGTGAATGCAGAGTTTCTGACATGAAACAGAATCTCAAGTATTTGTCATGAAAACTAGATTCCTAGCTCTTTATACCTAGGAGATGTCAGAAGTAAGGGGAAAGTTAACTGTATTTATGAGATAAGTAAAGCTGTTTCCATTACCAGTTGAAGAAGTATAAGTCTCTGCCCTTTCTTCAAAAAGTCTCAAATTTCTTAAGCTAGATAATATACTTAGAGCATTTGGGTTGAATTGAAGAAGCATTTTGTCTACTTAGAGCAAGTGTATTTGAAGTACATATTGTGAATTGGAAAACAATTGGCAGCAGTTGATTGCATAGCTGTTTTTTGTTTTTCTCTTTTAAGTAATAACCCTGTCAGTATGGAAAAACATTTTGCCTCGCTTTATCTCAAAATCTTTGTTTACATTTTATTTCAAACCCCTCAACAAAGCTCATGTCTTTTTATTAATGTGGCAAAAATCTCTTCCCTGTAGCTCTGTGGCAGATCACCAGGAAAGTGTTCTGCCAGTTAAAATGAAGGATAAGTTGTATTGTAAAGCCAGGGCAAATATTCCGTTTACCTACCTTGTCTATCATAGGTGATTTAATTGTATCATAGCTTTTGGGTCATGCAGTATCTTAACATTTGAGTAAGGGCATACTTTGAGCAAATAAGCTTAATATCTAGTTGACTTTCTTTTGCAAATAAAAGGAAGAGGAGGCGTACTTAATTGTATCTAGTGAATAGTATTGACTGACTTAATTTAACTGTGCTAAAGAAACTGAAAGTCTGATTTTTCATTTGCCTTACTCTCAGATCCTACCAAAGACGAATACTAGACTAAAACCTTTGGTGTCATTTTGAACATTAGTCTCTCCCCAACTCCCATAGTTGAACCTAAAACTACACACTCCAGTGGGAACTACTGCTGTTAATTCTTCTGCCCAAAGCTGTTTGGTTAGCCCACCAGGGACCAACTTTCCTTAGGAAATAACTTGTCTCATCATTAAGAACGAGAACTTCAACAGTTCTTGATTAAAAAAAAAAAAATTGTTTTAAGCTGTAATACAATTGTGATATTCTCAAAAGTTTCTTTTTTTTTTTCTTCCTGTGTTGTTTTTCTTGGAGAGTTAAGAATCTATTCTCTTTAAATGGAGTTTCCAGCATCAAGTACATGGAACAGAAATTAAGTAACAATCTCAGAGAACCTACTATAGAGATAGTGTTGCCTTCTCATGCCTCACAAGAGTAGAAATCTTCAATTCTTGTTCTCACAATCATTATAGCACTATCAATTGGAATTTACCAAGAATGGTTGAGCAGTGAACATTCGTTCACCATTTGGATATCATTTAGAAAAGAATTTGAACTATTTAGATGATTTTTGTAGTAAATCTGGTGACTTAAACACTGAAATCATTTTAAACATTTACATCTGAATCTAGCATCCCTTTTTGCTTCATAAATGAAACCAAGGATGAAATCCAGATGTTCTTCCTTTGTGTTTGTTTTATCCCTGTATGAAATCTAAGCATATCTAAGGAAAACTAAAGATAAGTTTATTTTGCTTATTTCGTATTAGTATTTGTCTGTCTTATGCGATGTGTAATTAGATTCTTTATCTCTAGTCCTCTCAATCACGTGCTTCCTTCCCACACCTTTTATTAGCAAAATTTTCCAGCTGTTGTTTTCCATTGAAATACTGATTTCACTTTTAAAGATGTATTTTATCACAATTGCAGAAATTAATGGAAGACCATGTTAAATGAAGGTTTGTTAAACTTGCTTACCAGTCTTAGGCATCATACTTCTTTAAGTCAGATTCTTTGGGCATGGTAAGTATGACTGGAAACTCTCTGAGCTTGTAACGTTACAATATTTACAGACCACATATTGGAAAACAATGGGCTTGGTATCTTTACAATTGATATTTATTACTTTTAAATACTTTTAACCTATTATATATTCTCAGATGCACATAAAAGATGGGTTTTAAAATGTTGAGACAATGTATTGGTTGGGTTTGACCTACAGTTACAAACTGCATCCCTGTTGTCGTGCTGTCATGTTATGCGAGCACTAGAAGTCACTGGCTCTAGGACTTCAAGGTGTTAAGGTTCTTGATGAAACTCGGAGGCAACATCACTTTGCATCCTTAGGCTTCACCATTGGGTGGTTTCAAAACACTAGGGATCCCACTTGTTTTCTTCAGGCCAAAGAGAAGAGTCCATCACTTTGACTTGGAAGAATGTCAAGAGCAGGCCTTCTGTAAAACTCAGCCCGGTCCACGAGTGCCCCACCCACCCACAGACGGGTCCAGACGTCCATGGGGTTGTCTCATCTCCAGTGGGTGTGCGAAGCACGAGGCCCTCACACCTCCTTAAAGGCAGGAGGCGTCAGGCGCAACTGGCAGGTATCCCTGCCCCTTCCCACTGTGGCCCAGCCCATGAGCGCGCGCGCCTCCCAGCACGTGGAGCCGCCCCGGCTGCCCCGCACACCCCTCCCGCCAGATGTAGTCCAGGCCCAGCTGGGCCCGCGCAGGGATCCCCAGCACGGCCACCTGACTGAGTGCTGGGCGTGCTGCGGCCCGCTGCTTCTGCCTCCGCCGCCGGCGCTGCGGCCAGAGGAAGTCGCCCGCGGAGCACACGGGCCCCGAGAGCGCAGTGCGGCCATTATCCGCGGCGCCTCCTAGTGGGTCAGTGGCAAATCCTCCTGGTTCTCGCGAGAGCTCCCCCTCAGTGGGGATTATATAATTTCCCCTAGGCGGGGGTGGGGTGCTGGGGCACACTCCCTAAGGAAAAGTTGGGTGTAAGCACAGATGGGAATAGGAGAGTTGTCCCTGGGGGGCACAGGGGGAAGGGGTACTGTCCCCCACTCCCCCCCCCACTTAGCTGGACAATGAGTCCTCTTATGCTAATGAGGTACTTACGTCACTTCCGCTCTTTCTCGGCCGCCATTTTGGCTAGGGCAGGTTCGGGGACTCGCTCCGAGGCGCTTGTATTGTCTGCCGAGGGGAGACGCGGGATCGGCCCCCTCCCCCGCCCGTTGCCGCCGCCGCCTCCGCCGCCCCGGTCTCCCCTCCGCCGCCCGCCGGGATCCATGAGCTGAACTCCCGCCCCCCGGCCGCCGCCATCTTGTGCCCCCTCCCCCTCCCGCAGGCAGCGCTAAGGGGGATTTTGGCGTCTCCTCAGACACAGCTCCCTCTCTCGGTCCCCGCAGCCGCGGAGCGAGAAGAGCGCGGCCGCCGCCCGCCCGCCCGCGCCGGTGAAGCCGCCGCTCCCACACCCTCCGTCTCCTCCCTCCGCCCCTCCTTTGTCTGCACCGCTCGACGACGCTGCCGCCGCCGCCGTCGCCCGCGCGGGGACTGGAGGGAGCCGCTCGCGCCGCCGCCGCCGCCCGCCGCTCTGCTGCGCCCGCCGCGCCCCCCGGCAGCAGCCGCGGCCGCGGCGCGAGCCGGAGCCCGCCGAGCCAGAGCGCGACG